TGTCCGTGCGGCTCTATAATGCACCACCTTCATCCTAACTGACTCTCTTCCTCCTGCATGCCGGAAAAGGTCAAAGCATCGCTAATACGAGCCCAAGTGTTAGGCTACAGCGTAGGGATCTTTCCTGCTAATAGCGATCTGCAAGTTTAGTGCAAAAACGCATGATCGCACCGGGGAGCCTGGCGCGTTCCAGCCTGGTTAATCACTTTAATCGCATATCAAACTGACCCATACTAACTGTTGGATGCACGTCACTGTTGTTACCCATTTCTTCTTAAAATTAGTGAAACAACTTTAGAATTCTAAACTTTCTTACCAAAGCACTTAGCTGTCTGTTTGGGAGTGCAATGCTAATATTTGAAAAGCAGGTGGTAGGGTTCAAAGAGAGAGACGAAATACGTTGTGCAAATAGATTTGAGAACAATAAAAGCACTAAAAAACGTTAGAATTAAAAACTAAATATCATGAGATATTATAGTGATTGATAAGTTGAATGCAATATCATCGTCAGCTTCTCAGCAGTCCTCGCAGCAACTGTCTAGTGCAGCGATCGAACGGGTTGCAAGCCTGAACAAGCCACCGTCATTGGATAGCTCACTTTCAAGGAGGTATTTCATATTCAGTTCTGAAAAAATGGCAGCTGCTAACTCTGCGATAATTTTCTTTTGTTCTGAGCCTCAAAAAAAACTATAATTTTTTGTTACTACCAAAAAATAATAGTAAATTATTTTGAGGGGTGCTGGTTTAAAGTTTTCCAGGGGTGACATTATTTTTGGTGCAAAATATTGAATCTACTTCAGAACCTGTTAGCCTAAAACCATTAAATTTTATGAGCTCATGCAAATCGCTTGCTTTTAAGGGTCCGACAAGAAATGCAGGATAGTCGGTCATATCGAAGTGCGGGTAGTGAACGCTCCGACGAGATGTCGCTGAGGTCAATGAGGCGTTCGGGTCTGATGTACAAGCGCGAAAAAATGCCCGTCTCCGTTGGCATAATCACCGTGATGCTTTTCATTGCCGGTGGTGCCATTTTATTTGCTGTCTGGGAAGACTGGAATTTTTTCGACGGCGCATATTATTCATTCATCACGCTGAGGTTTACTATTTGGGTTGCTGATTGCCAGTAATACTTTTTTTT